CTTGCCCTAAATGTGGATGCCCCATTTTGCTATGGTGAACTACTACTTTAGTGATAAGGTAAATATAAGAGTGGTACAATACTTTAGGTTAAAAATGCACATGTAAATGCCTGTTTTTGAGAGGAGGGGGATATGCAGGAGTTCTAGTACCCCGTTTCTTCCTTAATCCTTATTGGTATTGTTGGGTCCAGGGCATATGCTCTGGGGTTTTTTGTGATTAATGCAGCCATACAAAAGCCCTGTTTCTGCTCCACTTTTATCCATTTGGTTGTTTGCCTTTGCTAGCTTTTCATGATGGAACTCATTACCAGTGATGGTATTAGATGTTTGTGTTGGTTCTCTGGTGGCATATTGCTTGAGTCGTTTGCCAGTCTTTACGCTGTTCTTATTGGGTTAACTAGCAAGCCAAAGACAAGCTATTTAAACTTAATTGTACAATAGTTACATGGTAATGACCTAGTTCAGATCACATGAGGATTTTCAGTGTGGTCATAGGCTCAATGAGGCAGAACATAACTTTTAGGGCATGGAGTCCATCTCCATGTGGTTAGCTGGGCTGTACTGTGCTACAGCAGTTGATGTTCAGGTCTCCAGGCCATTGTTTTTGTTTTCACATTAGAATTTCAAGCTCTGGCAGCTCAGTCACCACCTATAGTGACTACAGCTCTGGAAACACTGTGTAACTGGAGCCAAGAGAGTGTCAGTTGCAGATTTGAGAAGGGGAAAGAATTTTTAGTCTGAATACTTTTTAAACTCTTTGGAGTTGGTTTGTTTATATTAACACCTGTTTAACTTTGGGGACTAACTTCTGGATAAAGGAAGCCTGTGTTAAATGTTCAAAATCCTCCGACTTTCAGCAGTGAGTGGATGCTGTGACCACGGGAAATTGGATATGCAATGGTATAGACGTTCCCTATCACATAACAGGGAACCTAGCCTTACACTGTTTATGTGGCTTTAGCATAGACATATGTATATGCACATCTACAAATGTGAACAGAAAATTCACGTCTGTATGCAGCTGCAGTACTAGAGCTTTGTGTAAACAACCCTGAAACTTCAGATAATCATCAGCCCACTTAGTGAAAAAAACATTTTGCCAATTGCTGTTATTCCTAAGATAGGATAAAGCCTTCCTGTTATGTAATAAAGATAAACACAACTCTGATTTTTTTTTTAATCCTGTACAAAAAATTTTATTAGTAATAGAGAAAACTGTGAGGATAGTGGCTTGTGTCAAGTGGCTTCTTACATAAAATGAAAACTTATGTAGAACATTACTTAATAGAAGAGACTTATACTACCTAGGATTTATTATTAAGTTTAACCTGAAGACCTGCTTGAGGTTGTTGGAAAAACTCAAATATTGAGTACATACTTGAGAAGAATTTAAGAAGGTGATATATTTTTAAAGTACTGAATGAATGAAATATTTCCAGTTGAGGTGATAGTCAAATAGTGCACTTAATGTTTAAACAGAATTTGGCTAGGCATCTAAGTTTTAGTAAGTTAAAAACAGTTCCTTTCTCCCCTGTTTTGCTTAGGAGGGAGGGATGTAATGTATATTATTTTTGCTGTTTGGGAAAGGGTTTTTTTAAAATATCAAAACTTTTCTTGTGCAAAAAAATATTCTAGAGTCTTTTAGAATCTAAAAAAAATCCTGTTAGAGATGTTCTGTATAGATATAGAGGGCTAGTCAAATGCTGAAATTTGACCTTTTCCCAGGTTTTTGTTACAATTTTTAAAAAACCTGTATAAGCATCAATATAAATGTGAAATTGATAGCTGTGATGTTTGGCCCACTTTTTTCTAAATTAATATTGTTTTAAAAGTGTAATTGGCAATTTCCTGTATAGATTAAGCTTTCTAAATGAAACTTGGTTTTTATGCATCCCTCAAATTCATTTAACTTTTGTAACTGTACTGATGCTGTAACAAGGATTATCTCTTTCTGAAAGATGTTTCAGCTCTCTTGCTCTAGACTGTTTTGTGTTTTTAAAAAACAACACTGGCTTTTGAATCTTTCTGTAGCATACTTACTACAGTGTTTGAAATACAGCTTTTCTTAGCAAAGCTAATATAGTTGCCATTAAAATGTCACTTTACATAAAAATTTAATGGATCAACCTATTTTAAATACAAAAAATGACTTCATACTACAGTATTGTTAGTGGGTTCTAATTATGTGGGTTTCTGTCATGTGGGCCTCAAATCAAGTAGGGCTCTAATCATATTGAAGTTGCACTTCTTGTTAATATAAAGCTAAATCTATGCAATAACAAGGAAATAAATAAGACTTTAATTGTCCCTAACACCTTCACTGTTGGCTGGATGATTAGGGCGAACAGGAATTACTGCTCTGTTTTGCAGAATGTACTGCTCCAAGTAGCAACAAGGAAAATTTCAGTTATGGGCAAGGAAAATTTTTTCCCATGCAGGTTGTGAAACACAATAAGAGGTTGCTCAGGGAAATAATAGACACTGCATCCTTGAAGAACATGACTAGATGAGGCCCTCAGTAATCTGATCGCCAGGTTAGGTTTGTATCGAGTAGGGTTTTGGACCAGATGATCTCCCAAGGCCCCTTCCAGATGCAATTATTACAAAATAGTAGACTAACTGAACAAACAGGAGAGATTCTCTATTTGGACAGGTCTGGATCAGGCCTTCTTAGAAACATTCCAGGACCTCTGCCATCTGGCCTATTACATTTCCTTAAAATAATGCAGTTTGTGCGTTCGTTTGGTGTGAGTGCACCTGATAGTAGCAGCATCAGTTACTTCCTATTCATGCCATTCTCTTATTTGTGCTCCTTGGTGTTCAGATGGCTCAAAAAATTCACTCTTGTCTTTACAAGAGTCCAGGATGCTGCAGTCCATTTCTTGAAAAATCATCGTGCTGAGAAGGTATCATACTTGAAATCTACCTTTGTAATTGTCATTCCACCTGTTAAAAGGATTACAGAACTTCAAGATCTTACTATAAGATATTCTACTATAAACAGTCTTCCTCAAAGACAGTCAGCTGGGAGATCTTACCCAAAATACTTGCTGAACGTTGTGTCTGAATTCCATTAGCTCTGATTCTGTCACTCTTTC